AGGGAGTTCGAGGCCAGCCTGAGGTACATAGCGGGACACTGTCCCAAAGTCAGTCCTCAGTTCAACAAGCAAGACTAGGTGCATAGCTTTTCTGGGAGTTCGCTGGCTGTTTGCGCTGGGGGTAGCGGAGATCAGCCGCTCCAAGCAGGGTTTCAAAATAGGTTTCCCCGCAGGTGTCGTGGCACACGCTTGTAATCCTAGCACTCAGCAGGCTGACTGACAGCTTTTCTGTGAGTTCGAGGCCAGCCAGGGCTGCATAGTGAATTCAAGGCCAGCCTGCACTGCATAGCGAGACCCTGTCTCAACCAACCGAAATAGGCCCCTTGGAGCCACAGCTGTAGACGAGGCACCGATTTTCCCTGGCAGAAGTGGGTGTGTGCAGATAGAAGACGCTGGCTGCCCCTGTGCTGAGAGACATTGTCTCAACTCCTATGCTTGCGCTACTAATCTGATCACCAAAGGGAAACCAGAGGGAATTTGTACAAACCATCACTTGAAACCAACTCCCTCTCCTATCTTAAAGTTGCCGCTCCTGCTCTATTGTTTGTAGGGATTTCTGTTATCTCCCCACCGAGCTTCCTATGTGTGCTCTACCCAAGGCTCCCTCCTGCCCTTTGCCCTTTGCCCCTGTCGGCCCCTCTGAAGATCCCTAAGACCCGGCTCTGCTACACCACCCCCCTCGAGTGCAGGCTGTTAGAGCCTCGGTCTGTCCAGCCTGCTTGGGTGCCGACCCTCCAGTCCTGGAGTGCCGTTTGGGAGTCTCTCTAGGACCTGTTGGGGTTTTGGATCCTGGGAGTGGGGCGGCCTTTCCTGCTGAGGTGGTTTTAGAGTCAGGGCGTTTGGTTTGGTTTGTGTCCCTTCTGCGAGGGCAGGCAGGAGAGGGAGGGAAGCATTATTTTAGGGCCGCCTGAGGCAGCACAACTATTGTCGACTGAGCCACCGCGTGCTTTTGCCATAGCATGAGTCTGCCACCCCAGCTCCCCCGACTCTGCACATTTGCAGTCTGACTGACAAATGAAACAGGCTGGCAGCGGTGAGGTCAGTTGCCGGAGTTCCTGGAGGGAGTGGAAGAGCAGTCTATTTGGAAAGCTCACAAGGGTTGAGGAAAAGTTGGAGTATTGGGTGGGGTGCAGGGCAGCATTCTCATAACGAGTGGGGGGTGGTGGTGTCCAGGCTGCAGTGTGGGTTGGGGTGTGCTTGGTGGGGGAGGGTGCCTCGGTTCCAGGGCCCTGGGGTCAGAGAGTGGTAGTGGGGAGGGGCCCAGGCCCTTCGTTGTTTTAGGGTGATGCCAGCTGGCCAGAGCGCTCAGCCCGCCCTGTTTTTCTGCCGGCCCCATCCCTCCCCTCCACACTCAGCAAGCCCTGCTATCCCCAGAACAATGGAGCAGAGTCTAGCCTGGGCCCCACCCCGCTGCTGTGTCAGTCTCTCCTTACAGGCCACTGCCTCTTCCCCGGAAGTGTCCCCAACCTCCTCTGCCTGTGCACCCAGATCTAGGCTGGGGCTGGGCAGGGAACTGGGGATGGCCTGGGGCAGGATCTCCCAGTTTCCAGCCTAGGATTCCTAGGATGCGAGGTGACCGACTCTGCACCTCTAGCAGTGTCCTCACCCCAGCCCACAGTTGGACCAGTGGATCAGTCCATGCTGCGCTGCTACTCTGTGCCCCATGGGCCAGCAGCTGCCCTGCTCGAGCTTCTTAGAAATGTGGGGGATGAGGGCTGGGGTATGCCCAGCAAGCTCAAGGCCCTGGGTTCATCCCCTGCACTGCCAAAGAGAAATCAGGAGAAAAAGCAGAATCGAAGTCACGCCATCCTTACCTCCTTCATTTTAACGGGATCCCCACAGGATTTTAGTGCTGTTGACTAAAATCTAAGCCCCGTTGAAGACCTCTGTGAGGTGAGTGACAAAAGCGCCTTCCCCTTTCAGGCTCCATGTGAAGATGATGCTAGTTAATGTTCCCAGCAGCCCACACAGGTACACTCAGTCCTCCTGCCCTTGCCTCTGTGGCTGCTGCTTTTGCAGCCTGCCCTGACTTCCCTTCGAGTGGCTTTGTGCTTGCCCTACCCTCACGCCCTTCAGTAGTAGGCTGCCCTGGGCTGGGGATGTCCCATAAGGATGCCCAGCCCTGGTCTTCCCACCTCCCAAAGCCCTCCGAAGGCTTGACTTTTGCTGAACAGGCTTGAAGAAGGTCTGGCCTTGCCTAAGAATGAGGCATCTGACCTGAACTGAGTTTCTTGTCCCTTTCCTCTGCCCCTATTTTTCTACCTTCAAAAAGGATCTGGAGCAACAAGAGGGGAGTCTTATGCAGCAAACTGTCTCTTGCAAGAGTAAATGATAGTGCCACTACACCCTGTCTCTGTTCCTGGACCAAGAGCTTGGCCTCTTGGCTCCAAGTCTCCTCAACGTGGACATGGTTGGTGGGTATTCAGGCCAGGGGCCAGGAGAGGCTGTATAGTCTGGTGGTTAATGGGGTGCTGTATCATCAGATCATCCCCAGATACAGTACAGGCGGAGGTGTGGAAGGCCAGGCTCCCAGGACTACTTGGAAGAGCTGCAGGCCTCTGGAAAGTTCCAGGTTATTTCAGGCTGAGGCCTCCTCCCAACAGCTCTCAGGATGGGGACCTGGCTGACACACCCTTGCCAGGGGATGGCAGCGTAGGAGATCCCCCTCCCCTAGCCGCTAGGCTTGGCTGGGTGTTCATCAGTGTTGGGGGCTGGCTCAGAGTGGACAAATGACCCCCACGTTGACTTCTAGAGGGTGATGGATGGCATGGTGGCATAGGAGGCAGCCTGGGTCCAGCTGTGGGGGCTAGGTGTGGTTTCCTGGCTGAGGCCCAGACTTTCGCAGATGGTACACTTGTGTAGATAGCCGAATGCACACATGTGTGCCGAGACACCCACAGGGGCAGGTGCACACTCGTGATCGTGTGCTCAGAGCCTTCTCATGCACACACATACGCTTTTTCCAGCAGCCATGCCATTCTGATAATGGGACACTGGGTCCGGGTTGTTGCAGGCAGAGCCCCATCCTGGGTCTGCTCTGTCGCCTTCTGTTGTTTGAGCTTCCATGCCCCTTTCCCCTGGCTGTAGGAGCTGAGCGAGAGGGCTGCTCTCAGCAGTGGCCCTGCAGACTCCGGGCCATAGCTAGTGCTGCTGGCAGTGCAGTTGGCAGCAGGAGGCCAGAGCCACAGGCTCCCCATCCTGTGTGTGCTGGCCCTAGTGGTGGTCTCCACCCCTGACTCTTGGACTCTGACCCCGCCTCCCCATGGTTTGGGTCACTGCTCTCCCTGCAGGCTCCAGGGGTGGGCTGGCTCCCGGGTAGGCTTGCTGTGGCTGCCGCAGCCTGGATGGCTTCCCAGAGCCTGCCTGGATGACAAGGGGGCAGTACCCCAGCCACCCTGATCACTGCCACTCTCTGTGCCTCAGTTTCTTCCACTATTATGAGTGTGAGTCTACTGCTGGGCACATCCAAGCACACAGCAAATGTGGGGTTGAGGCACATACTGGAGAAGAGGGTGCATACTAAACAGATAGTAGAGCTTTGTGCCCTTCTCCCATTACCCCGGACCCTGCCCAGGCCCCAGGAGTATAGAGGGACTCCTTGCTGCCCACGTGCTACTCCCCACCAGCAGCCATGGCACCTTCCATTGTGTTGGGGGACTGTGTATTGGGAAGTGAATGGGCTGGGTACAAAGGGAAGGGCTCCCTGCTTTAGGCCTGCTTTGTACAAGGACAGGAACAGAGAGGAAAATGGATATGAAAACATGCTGGGGACAGTAGCACACTCTTGTGATTCCGGCCCTTGCGAGGCTGGGGCAGGAGGATCTAAGGCTGGAGGCCAACCTGGGTCACATAGTGAGGTTCTTTCTCAACCCTGCCCTCTCCCCAAAAAGGAAGACACAGGATAACAGTGACAGGGTAACAAAACTGGTGATGAAACTGGTGACACAGTGATCCCTGGTGGCCCAGTCCTCACCTCCACCTCATTTCCTGCCTGTCTCCGTTGTCCCCACCCCAGCAACCTCCTTGCTGAACTCAGGCTTTCCAGCCCTTGAGCCTCCACACAGGCTGGGCCTCATTCCCAAAGCAGCCTCCCTGCGCTGCTCGCTGACCGGGTTTTTCAGCCCAGTTCTTGGGACTGAAACACCCCAGGGCTTTGGGCACAGGGGACTACTGTGCTTTCACCCCTGAGCTGTACCCCACCCCTTTTTAAATTTGGAAACCCGAGTCTTGTGAATTTGCCCAGGCTAGCCTCATTTCTGTAGCGCTCTTGCCTTGGCCTTGTGAGTAGCCGAGATTCCAGGTGTGGGCCACTGTGCCTGGTTAGAATGGGTCATTCTTTCGCATTGATCCAGTCTTGGCTTGCACCCTCTTACAGGTAGCATCGACTCCATTGTCTTGTTTGTTTGTTTTACTTTTATCAGTACGCTTTGGACGTGCATAGTGATTACATTCACTGTAGCAGCTGTGCATTTGTCTGCCTCCTCCGCTTCCTGGCTCAGCCTGTGTCGCCAGTGCCATCAGCAGGGCCTGGTGCTGGAGCCTGTGTTTGTTGAGTGGCTTGATGATGGCAGTTCCAACAGTGCTGACAAATATTGCTCGTTTTGGACAGATTATGTGTCCAGTATTTGGCATGTGTTACTTCCTTTTAACCTCGGGATGGTGTGATGTTGAGACTATGACAGTTCCTGTTTATCAGATGCAGTAACTGAGCCCCAAAAGGTTAAGTAACTTGCCCAGGGTTACACAGCTGGCAAGTGGTAGGGTTTGAAGTCAGGTGTGCTGACTCCAGGACAGAAGAGGGAAGGAACCTGGTTAGAAGCCGGGAGGGCAGCCTTCCACTTCACCCGTGTTGTCACCAGGTCATCAGGGTACCATCTGCTGACCGGGGAGGCCAGGGTGGGATGGGGCCCCCCTTTCTCTGGGCCAGCCTCCTTCCCAGAACTCTGGGCATGGGAACATTCTAGGACTCTGTGACCTGTGCTGCTGGGTCCTGCTGTGCCTGGAGCATCAGCCCAGCGGCAGGGCCTTTGGGGGCTCCCTGGACGTGGGGTCTGCCTGGCTGCAGCTGCAGCTGTGAAGAGGGTGAGGAGGTAGCCATGGCAGCTCCTCCAGGGAGTGGGCTGCCGGTCCCCAGGGCTGGCTGACACAGGCTTGTTTGAAGGACTTGGTGGCATGCAGTGGGGCTAGGGCAGGGACCCCAACGGGTGGATGGAGGCCTGCTGCAAGTGAAGGTGGTGCCTGGCTTTAGAGGCGCCATTCTTTCCAAAGTTTCTGGAAATGAGATTTTTAGGCGAGCATCTGGAATGCTGAAAAAGATCCTTTGTCTTCCTCTCCTCTCTTCTCCTCTCCCTTCCCCTCTCCTCCTCCCTCCCCTCCTCATCTTCCCCTCCTCTACTTCCTTCTCCCCCTCTTCTTCCTCCTCCTGCTCCTCTTCTCCTCATCCCCCTATACTCCCCCATACTTGGGTTTGAACTCAGAACCTTTAGATTAAGTTACATTTGTAGCCTTTTGAAGTTTTTATTCTGAGACAGTCTTGCTAAATGGCCAAATTGCTGGGGGCTGGGCTTGAACTTCTGATCCTCCTCCATCCAGATGATCACTGCTTTCACCACCGCATCCACCTGAGTTAGTATTTTCAAACTAAAAGCATGGGGGAAGACACATCCAGCCTACCAAGGGCTGCCTTGTTCCTGCAGTAGAGTTCTGGTCCCCTGTGTGTCCTCGTCCCCAGCCTGGCAGGCTCTCATGATGCCCACTTAGTGTCCCCTTCAGATGCCAGAGTACTCAGTCACTGAGCACTTCTGACACTTGGGCTGCTGCTCCTTCCCCCTGCGCCTGTGCCCAGGCAGCTGGCCCTTTCTGGACCACAGCTGTGAGGCTCTGCTCTAAATGACACGGTGACTTCTAGACAGAGGCTGTGGAAGTCCCCTAGCCCCACTGGGGCTGGCCAAATTCTGATTCCTGTTAGGGGTCATGGTGTTAGGGGTTACAGAGAGAATTGAGGTTCACAGAAGAGCTGGGGGAAGGGGCTGGGCGGCAGTGTTCTGTGAGTGCCTGGCAGCCTTTCGCATGCCCCTTCCCCTTGGGTCTTGCTCACCACCAGGCCTCCCTTGCCTGGTTACAGCTGTGACACCCCAGGTATCCACCCTGGGTCCTGGAGTTTCCTGAAGTCATCCTGAGTTTGTCCGGATCTGTGCTGGGGACCTAGAAGGACTAACGACTTCCTTGTTGTAGGGGCGACCTGTCATTTTCTTGCAGACCTGTGAGCCCAAGTGGACACCTGACCCAACGGGTGTGGGTGTAGACAAGGTGACCTTGTCCCTGCCAGCCTCAGTCTGGCTGAGGGAGAGGCAGGAGTGTCAGACATGGGAAGGGGACGCCTCCATCCCATGTGACCCCTGAGAGCCCCTTCTCTCTCCAGGTCAACAATGTCATCTGAGCCTCCCCCACTGGCACCTGCACAGCCCCCCACTCAACAGCCATCAGGGGGGCTGCTGGAGGCCCCTCGGAACACAGCGCGCTCCCCATCCCCCCTGCGAGACAACGTGGTCCCAAGCCCCCTGCCCACCCGCCGGACCAGGACGTTTTCTGCGTGAGTCACTGCTCGAGGACACATCCACGTGGGGCTCCTGCCCCGAGTGCCCACTGGGGAGGCTGGGGCAGTGAGCAGGGCCTGGGCTGGGAGGGTGTGCCCTGGTGTGTGCGTAGCTGATGCAGGGTCCCCTCATGCCTTCTCTCTCATCAGGACGGTGCGGGCTTCCCAGGGCCCTGTCTATAAGGGCGTCTGCAAATGCTTCTGCCGGTCCAAGGGCCATGGCTTCATCACCCCTGCAGATGGCGGCCCCGACATCTTCCTGCACATCTCTGAGTGAGTGCGTTCTGGGCTGGGGTGGGTCTGCCTTGCCCCATGCATGTGGGGGCAGTATGTGGCTGCAGGGGGAGCCGTGGTGGGGGCAGTGTGAGGCTAGGAAGGACATTCTCCAGTGAGTGTGACAGTCTGTGGACAGCTGTGGAGAGTGTGTGTACACATATGTGTGTGTGCTGCTCTGGGATCCAGGGGTACACAGCCAGGCCTGTGGAAGCTGGGAGGGGCAGAGCTGCCCCATGCAGGCTGGAAGTTGTGTATGTGTTTGGGGGGAGGGAGGTGTCCCTGAGTTGAGGTCCATGTTTGCCTGGGAGCTAGTTTCCTGCTCTCATGTGAGGGAGGTGGCCTGCTGGGGCTGAGGCTGACAGCCCCTTGGCTCCAGGAAGGAAGTTTGGGGTGGGCTCTTTCTCTAGCAGCTCACTCACTGACGTCCTTCCTTCCTGAGTGTCAGGAGTCCCCCTCCCCCAAACCCAGAGAGGGGCCCATAAACACTGGGGGCTGAAAGGTGTCCCATGTCTTCAAGAGGCCTTAGGTCTCCTCGGTAGCCATCTGATGTGTGAAGTCTCTTAATGGCACTCCAGACCAACACCCCTCTTTGGCCTAAGCACTCCTCCCTTTTTTGGTGCTGAAGATTGAGCCCGAAGCCTTTGCACATTGCCAGGCAAGCTCTGTGCCACGGAGCCACGTGCCCAGCCCACGTCCCCCAACCTTGCACTTCAGGCAGCGGCAGGCAACTTCCTACTCCACACAGCAAACCTGGCAAACATGCAAGTCACATATTAAAAAACAGAAGCCTGCCAGTTGTGGTGGCAATGCGTGTGATCCCAGCTATGTGGGAGGCTGAGGCATGAGGATTGTGAGATCAAGGTGACCTGCAGCTACTTAGACCATTTCAAAAGACGCTGACGGTTACAGCTTCTGTGTATATGGACACATGCATGATTGTTCCATATTGCCTTTTCCAGGAAGGGTTTGTGGGCTGTACGGAGACACAGACGATGTGCTTTGAAAGTGAGCTATGAAATTAGAGTGAGTTAGTCTGATACACTGTGAGGACTGAGCTGAGGGTTTAATTCCTGAGCTTCCTGGTGGCCACCTCAAAGAGGGAACCACTAGTCTATGATTCCCTGATCAAGATAAACCAGTTCTGGGGGATCCAAGGGGATTTCTTTTTCCCTTGGGCCCTCATCAAGTCACTGAGTTGGTGACTCCTACTCCCTGGGAAGTCAGGATTCTTCCTGGGGACGGTCGCAGGGAGATGCTCTTTCTTACAACTAGCTTGAGGCGCAGGGACTTTTCTTGAAGGCTGTGAGGAGGATCTGGAGAGTTTAAGGTAAAAAGCTGTGACCAGTTCTGGGGCCAGAGCCAATGTGGCTGAGGTAATGCAGGAGGCCTTGCTGGGTCTGTCCATTCTTGATACCGGTCCTGTGCTGGCCCCGCCTCCCTGCCACCTGGATGGCCATCCAGCCTCCATAATTAGTGTTACAGTGCCCGGGTCGTCTCAGTCGCAGCATCTGAGTCCCCAGGAAGAAGCTGATGGGTTCAGGGCTGCATGGTCAGGACCCCAAGGCTGGGACCAGGTGGTAGTGTCTTCTAGAGGGAGAGCAGGAGGAGCAGGTCCTTGGAGTGCGGTTCTGGGTGGTTAGTCAGATGGGCACCTACGCGGGGGGCCTTCAGCTCAGCAGCCTGTTGGTGTCTTGGGGTGGAGTCTCCAGGCTTTTCCTGCTGTGAGCACTGACTGTTTCCCTTCCCCCTAGCGTGGAAGGAGAGTACGTCCCAGTGGAAGGCGACGAGGTCACCTATAAGATGTGCTCCATCCCACCCAAGAATGAGAAGCTGCAGGCTGTGGAAGTGGTCATAACCCACCTGGCGCCAGGCACCAAGCACGAGACCTGGTCTGGGCACGTGGTCAGCTCCTAGGAGGCCTGGGAGTGCTCACTCCTTCTCCTGGGCTGGTGGGAGACTTCGTGGGACGAGGCGGGGCCACAGTGAAGATGACATTCTCCTGCACAAGATGGGGCTTCGAGGGTGGGACATGGCCCCTTTCAAGTGCCCCTGGAGGAAAGGGACCTGAGGGCAGACATGGGGTGCCCTCAGCCACCAGCACAGCCTCCACCATCACCTCAACAAGCTCTTACCATCTGAAAAGCATTAAACGCATTTGAAAAGGAGAGGTGCCCCTAGTGGCTGAGTGGAGAGATCCAGCTCCAGACCAAGGGTGGGTTGCAGGCCATTTTTCTCAGCAGCCCAGAGCCCCTCTTCTTCCTTTAAGAAGGAGACAAAATCCCCAGATCTGTGTGGCCCATCACGGGTGACTTGCCCAAGGTCAATTTCATCTAGTGTCCCTTGTCGCTGCTGGGGCCAGGGCAGAGCAGTTTGTTAATTCTCTCCTTGGTTGGTTAAAGGGGATCTGGCTTCTGGATGTGGGGGACTTTCAGATTGAGACTTTGTGTTTTGGTACCTTGTATAGGGCACCACCAGCCTGCCTGGGAAGATGGTTCCTTGAAGACAGTGATGGCGAACCTTTTAGAGCTCGCTGTATCTCCTCACCCACCCCCCCATAGGTTTGCTATCACTGTAGGAGCTCCAGCGAGGGGCCTGCAGTGCACTGGGCTGACCCTGGGCCTTTTCATGTTTCCTGGTTGAGTGGTCCCCACTCAGCAGCCATTGAAACCTTGTCATTAAGATGGCACTTTGGAATGGCGATGGGGGTGGATTACAAGAGGCTGTGGGAGAGGGTCTTCTGGAGGGGGCAAGTTTGTTTAAGGGCAGAATTTTCCTGGGTCCATCCAGAAGAGGGTAGGTAGTTCGCTTTCTGAGACCCAGGTATCGTTAAAAGTTGCAGAAACACTTTTAGTGGTGGTAAGAAATGCTTAGAGATTTTTCTGTTTTGCTTTTTAATAAAGCTTGCCCTCCACAGAACTGGCTGATAGACCCATAGGTTTTCTTTTGTAGTGGTTTGGCTTGATTCTAGGTGTGATTTGAAATTAGAAGCAGTTGGGTAGTGTGTTTTGAAATGTGGCCTAATCCAGTTAAGGATGTACATGTCAGTGTGGGGAGGTGAGCCTGTGAAGTGGTGGCTTGGGAGTTCGTTGGGGGCATTTTGATGCGGGAAGCAGTAACGACCTCAGGTGTCTTACATGTGGGTGTGTTTGGCCTACCTAACAAGGCTGCATCTGAAGGGATTGAAGGCTAGAACCTTTTTGCTGAAGACTGGTAGAACTGTTTGAAAATAAGCACGTTGGTTGGGTGTGTGTGTTAAGTTGCTTTTTTTGTTTTTGTTTTTTTTTTTCTCTCGCCTGCAGTGCCTCTTGAAGGGCACTCCCCCTCCTGCTGGGTCATGGTAGCCTTGGGTGGCTCCCGGGTGGCGTCTTCCCTGGATCTCGCCTGTTGAGCACAGAGCACACTTGAAGCCATTTCTGCCAGGAGGGCTGAGTTGCTTCCTTCCCCTGGCGCCTCTGGCCTTGTCCTTGCCTTGGCATCTGGTCTCGGTCTGGGGTGGCCCCTGCACTAGCGCCCAGCCGGCTGTGCCCCACAGCTTGGCAGTCACATTCTGCAGCCAGTGACCTTTGGATTTTCTCATTTGGCAGAATTCTTTGTCAATAGCTTTCTGGGTGACCACACTTTGTCATTCCATGAGCATTCTAGAACTGCAGGATATGGGAGCTGAAAGAGACGGCCCTCTGCTCTCTCTCTCTCAGAGCCTCCATTTATCATGGATGGGGTGGGACACAGGACTGGGGATGGAGCTGGGAATAGAATACAGGATTCCTAAATTTAGATCTTGCTTGCCATCAGCCACCTTTCAATAAAGTTTATTTGGTGTAGGGCTGTGTGTTTGTTATCATGGAGGCTGGCCTGCCAAGAGCTTTGCCTGTGGGCCAGCAGGGTGGGGATCTCCTCCAGTTGAGGTGACAACCCGCTGCTTTGCTGTTCGATTTTAAAGAAAGTGGATCATCCCTGTTTCTTTAACTGTCATTCTTCAGGGTAGGGAGCTGAGCAGTAGGACGTGCTTAGCTTTGCTAACTGGCACTGGAGTTGCCTTGTGGGCAGGCACTCTGGGGTGCCCAGGATGCTGTATGCAGGAGAGGGTTTTTACCACCAGCCTGTGGTAAGGGATGTCCAGGGGCGCCTGTGCCAGGTCCCTAGATGGCCGTGTCTCAGGTTTCTCAACAGGCTCCAGGATCTCCACACACGGGGTAGGGGCTGGAATCAGGTGAGTCTGTCCCCTCCCTCAAGTCCACTGGCACAAGGGCAGGCTCGGATGGTGGTGCTCCGAGGGCCACAGTCCAAGTGTGCCATCATGTGCTCTCGAGGGAGGAGTATCAGCCTGCTGTGGTTCAGGGAACCAAGGGCAGCCTGAGCCAGGTGGAGACACGTGACAGTCCAGGGCACAGGGGACTGCAGTGGGGAGGGTTGGCTGGTAGCTGCTGCTAGGGGAGGGCCTTGGTGCTTGGCAGGAAAGGTTTTGCCCCAGCCAGTGTTTCCCAAGGGAGAGGGACAGAGATTTTTATTGATGCACGATGATCTTCAGAATGTATTGGAAACCAGACCACCGAAACTGTATAAGGAGAGACTGAGCTGGCCTTTGGCTCTAAATATGATGAGCTGACTTATACCAAGTGAGTATTACCTACAGGTCAAGGAAAGGCGGGGGAAACCAGGGTTGGGTTGGATGACACGTTGGATTAGGCAGCCTGAGGTGAAGGGGGTTCTAGAACTTACTTCGGGGTGCTGTGGAGGTGGGAGGCTAGTTGCCTTTCCTTGGGATGAGAAGCACCCAGCCTGGGTGGGACCAAGATCAGGGGCTTGGGAGGGGGAGGAGGAAGCAGCCCTCCGAGGTGAGTCAGGGCTGCATGTGCCTGGACTGAGCTGGATTTCAGCACTGCCTGGCTTGTGGTTTCTCCACCCCTCCCTCCAGTCAGTCCCCGCTGGCAGCTGGAGGCCCCTGGGCAGCAGCTGGCTGGGGTCTGTGCCTTCCAGGCTGGCTCCTCCCACCCTCCGGTGTTCAGCTCAGGCTGTTCCCCAAGCCTGCTGAAGCCGGGGTGACCTTGAATCCAGGTCAGCTTCATAGTGCTGGGCAGGGGTGACTGAACAGGCTCAGCCTGGCTTGGGCACAACCTCTAGTTCCTTCTTGCTCAACATGTACTGGATTTAAATTTGTGATGACATCTTTATCCTGCCAAGGGAATGACTACCACCCCACAGGGCTCCCAGAGGTTCATGAGTTCCCAATAGCACACACACTGATGTAAGTGCTCTAGTGAGATCATTTCCTCCCCAGAACATGTCTGGCAGCGACTGCTGCACCTGAGATGGGCAAATGGGCCGAGGTAGTGGGCCTGAGTCACACGGCTGCCTCAAAGCAGCAGGCCTTGGATCTGGGCAGCTGCTCAGCAGCCTGGGTCCAGACCTGGCCCTTAGCTCCTGGGAGGTGCCAGCATGCACTGCGCTCATGGCTACACCATCACCAGGAAGCCCTTGCAGGAAAAGCCTCAGAGCATGAAGCTGGGACACAGACTGCAGAGGGTCAGGAGGAAGCAGGGAAGGGCCCACAGTTCACTTCAGGGGGCAGAGGGAAAGGCCGAGGAACTCATGACAGTGTAGAAGGGTGGCATGCTGGGCAGCCCCACCACCTACAAGGAAGATAGCCAGGGAATTGTGGACATGGCCCTGGGGGGGGGGCGGTGTCTCACTGCGGAGATGCAGTGGATAATTCTGTGTCTGGGATGTGGCAAGTCAGAAAAGCACCAGAGCACAGAGCTGCCCTCAGAGCTTTTGGGTTTCCTCCTAGGATCTGAGAAGACACAATTGCTACTCTTTCACTTCGCCACCCACCTGATGGGGAAAAGAGTCATCAGAAGAAACAGTGAACAGTGAAGTTGCTTTATTGTGCTGCACTTCATCTGTGAAAGTGCCATTTGCAAAAGTCAACTAGGCTATAGGCCACAGACCACTGAAAAACCCACCGTACGGGGGAGAGGGGCTGAGGTGGCAGATGTGGGTTACTGCAGGCATTCACCTCTCTGATGCTGAGCTGCAGCAGCCGAGTGGCAGGGCCTGGAGGCAGGCTTATCTATGGCAGTACCAGGTGGTTCTCGGGCACAGCACCAGCCTGTCCAGAGACGTGGTAGGTCCCAGTGTTTCCAGTTACTGCAAAGTGGCTCTGGAACCATACTTGGGAATCTTCCAGCCAGGTTGCTGAAGAGGGCAGAGGTAGCTCCCACCCCTCAAGTCAAGGTGTGGACAAGGGCCTGGGCAGAAGTGGACAGACACCTCCGTGCAGGTGCTGCACCTGTAACCGTTCCTGAGGAGCCAAGTCCCATCCTGGTGGGGTGCTCCTGGGGTACCTAACCTCCCTGGATTGAGCTGCTGTGAACCCAGGCAGCATCCCGCCTGTAGGGAAAGAAAGGGCTGATGGGTCGCCTGTTCTCCAGGAAAGGAACCAAGCTGTTCACTACAACTACAGAGCCGCAGTATACTCTAGGACAGCCATGGTGCCAGCTCCCTGGGGTCAGCTGTCCCTTGGCCTCCTGTCTGTCGGGCCATGCTGAGGGCTGTGGCTCACTAACAGGAAGCAGCTGGAAAACGGTGCACCGGTCACGTGGCCTAATGTCACACGCTCAGGACCCCAGCCTCCGTTCAGTCTCAGGGTGGGCGTGGGAGAGCGACTTTTACCTAGGGATGATCACACGGATGGCAGGTCGTCTTTCTCAACCTCACATTCCTTTTTGGTGTTGACAACGCAGAGATCTGGACATTTGACAGCTCTTAAATTTTCATAAGATCCACAGATGGAGGCCCGGGATATTTGTTCTTTATCATTCTGGAATAACTGGGCAGTTTCAAAAAAGCAGCATTTAATCTGAATGTAGACATTAGGCAGATCTCACACTGGGGCTAGAGGACAAAGTCTTTTGTTGTTATTCCCACAGAGGTTTTCTTTTTTGAGACAGAGTTTCACTATACAGTTCAGGCTGGCCTTGAACTCACTTTGTAGTGGAGGTGGGTGCCTCAGACACTGATCCTTGTGCCTCAGCTTCCTGAATGCTGGGATTATAGGCAAGCACTACCATGGCTGTTCCCTGATTTTTTTTTTTTTTTTTTTTGAGAACCTATGGCCTCCTGCACCAGAAACAAGAGTTACTTCTCTAGCCCAGAGCACGCTTGACAAGTCTCTTCTCCCCTGTCCTCGCTGCTTTGGCAATGGAGGTGGAGGGAAGAGCTGCTGAGGATGTGGGGTGATTTCCTGTCCAGAGGCTGCCATCTGGACAGCTGTGCATGACTGGACAGTGCACAGCCGGGTTGCGGGGTGGTGGTGCATGTGGTATGCACATATGGCGCTGCCCCCAGTGACCTTACAGGCCTGTTGGTCACGCCACCACCTCTGCTGTATTAAGAGAAGAGCTCCTCACAAATCCTGCGTGTGTCCTCGGGTGCTGTCACAGTGTAGCCCACAGTTCGAGGGTCTGTGAAGATCTCATAGTCATTGCCGCCCTACAAAGACAAAAAACAATGCAGAAGCTCCACTCTGCCCTAGGCCATGGCTGCTCGGGCTCAGGAGCCAAGCTCTTGCTGGGCAGGGACAGTGTCTTCTGGTGCCTGTTTCCAGGAGGGGACCAACATGAGTGCAGCAATTACGTAGAAAGCGCTTTAGCCCCCTCCTGAACTACAATTCAGTTGGGAACATGTAACTATGCTTATGAAAAGAATCATGTTCTGGTGACAATCTGTCTTAAGGCTTATTCTATAGAGAAACAAGTATAATGAGTGACAAAATTCTCATAGCCATCCATTTGTTTTAGCCACACTGGAAATTCTCCAAGTTAGAAGGAGCCCTTGTAGCCCGAGAGCTGGAGCTAATGTGGCTAGTGCGAGGTGGAACTTGCCTGGGTTGGATTAAATTTAAAAAAGACCCACCTGAGCCAGATGTGGGGGTGCATGCCTGTAATCCCAGGACTTGGGAGGCTGAGGCAGGAGGACTGCTGGGAGTCTGAGATGAGCTTGGGCTACAAAGTGAGCTCAAGGCCTGCTGAGCTGTATCGTGAGACTCTGTCCCAAAAAGACAAAAAAGTGCTAGAGAGATCTCAGTAGAATAAGCACTTGCCTGGCAAGCGCAGGGTCCTGAGTTCAATCCCTGGTACTTCAAAAACAAAACAAAAAATCCCCACGTGGCTGGTGTCTGGGTTGCTGCACGAGTGTGGTCTCTGCAGCGGGTGGCTTGGGTTGCACCCTGGTCCAGCAGCGGCTAGGCGTGCAGCTGTGGGCAACACCTCCCTCTGGAGGGGTCGCTTGCTTGTGGTGCTCACGGTGGTGGGGCCCTGGAGGTGGTCAGCAGCACCTGCTCCACAGCTTGCTAAGCGTCTTCAGCCACTGCCATCACCCTGACTACTTCTAGCACTCAGGCAGGGTAATTTACATCCTGGAAAAGTGGCCACTGAAGCCTCGGAAAGGCTGTTTTTCATTTTTATTTTTTTGAGACAGGGTCTTGCTCTGTAATTCAGGCTGGCCTCGAACTCACAGCAGTCCTTCTGCTTCAGCCTCCCAAATGGTGGGAATTACAGCCCTGTAACACCATGCCCTGCTAAAAAGGCTGTTTGTGCACAGCCTGTGCTGAGGTGTCTGCTAAGATGTGGGCAGGTGCTGAGGTTGAGGGAGGTGTCCCCACCTAGCCCACTGGCCACAGGTTCCCAGAATAGCTGCCTGTGACTCCACCAAACCCACACCATGCAGGAAAGCCCCTGCTTTTCTTGTCATGGGATTTTTTAAAATGTTCCTCACCAAACTGAATACACAGTTCAATTGTAAAGCTGGAAAAAAAATTTGTTAATTTATCGTACAATCAAAGAGAGTGAAGAACAAACGAATTTTTTTCATAAAGCATAGAATACCAGGCCAATATGGAGATAACTATAGTTCTTTGGAAAACCTGACATCCTTTTAAAGGATGATTTGGCACTGAAAATTATTAGTCATCTTGGTTTTTTAAGAGCAAACCACTCCTAGACAAACTCCCCAGGTGGAGGTAAGGTTCAAGTCTTCAGGGGGGAACATCCGGGGACCAAGAGCTAGGTGGAGCCAGAAACCTGGGGCAAGCTTCTGTGCAGTCAAGAGCTTTGGGTCACTGACATAGCCCCAAGTTCTGTGGCCAGTATCTGCTTCCTAAATACACACGAAACCAGGTCTAATAATTCTTATGATTAAAAGTCGCATTTCTTTTAGGAACAGCATGGTGAGTAAAAATCACAGAGGCTAACAAAGGCATGGCCAAATGTGGATGCTTCATTTATCTGGGACACACTCCCTCTGTGTCTCAGCCTGATGAGCAGGAAGGCATACGTGCGCAGGAATCTGCCAGCCTCTGGGGAGCGCAACCACCTGCCAGGTGTGGATCCAGCAGCTGGGCACAGGCGTGCACAGAACAGATGAGGGGGCTGCCTGGGGACCTGGCCCTCAACTAGCAGACGTTTAATGCTTTGTGGTCAAGGGAAAGGACTTGGAAGAGCGGGGATGGGGGGCAGGAGTCCACAGAAGACCTCAGGGGGAGCATACCTGTCCAGGAAGAGCTGAAAGAAGCATGAGCATGGCCCCAGGGTGAGCCAAAGCCAACAACGTGGGCAGACCCTGGGAAGCAGGGAGGAGGGTCAGCTGGAGCCAGGTGGGCCACAAGGGCGCCACAGACCAGTGAGGACTTGGGAAGTGATGCATCAGGACTGGACTGCCTGCCAAGATCGTTCTGGAGAATAGAAGGAGCTGCGCCCCAAAGGTGGACACTGAGGGTATTCAGGAGGCTCCTGGGATAGGCAAGAGCCATTACCTGGGAAGAGGGACCTCCAAAACCAGAACGTTGTATACTGGCAGGTGACAGCTGCCATATTAGCCCTCCCCCATAGAAAAATGTGAGCACAGATGTGGCCCGACAGATGGCTCCCTGCACAGTTCTCCACGGCTCTGCCAGGAGGCATGGAAGCCAACAGTAGAATCTGACTGAACTTTTGCACCCATGACCCTCACTGACACTTCAAAAAGCTGGTTGGGTTGAGAATCAAACATGTCCAGGAAGACAAAAGCCTCCTGCCCTGCAAGGTGGCCCACACGGGGCCATCTGCCTCCCCAACACCACCAAGCTCAGGCCTTCCCACCACCCCCACTGAGGGAGAGCATGCTGGGCTCCTTCCTGGGCTATGCCGTGCCTGCCCCCAGCACAGGTCTGAGGACAGCAGAAGTAGAACCAAGCCCCAAGCTGGTGACAGGATTGCCCTCTAGAAAAAGGCTCAGGGAACTGGAAATTTCAAATGCTGGATCTGCAGATGCACCCAAATTTCCTGGATTCCTATAGAGGAAGCACAGTTACCTGCCAGCTCCCAGCTCTGAGAACAAAAACCCTATTTCTAGCCAAGATAAAGGGAGGGAAGAATGGGAGGGTGAATGAACAGTCATATTTTTGTGGCGATGTACTTAGCAACCCACAGGAGGGGCTTCTGCTCACTGAAGTCAGCCTGTTAATATTTAAATACCTAACAGGCCCAAGCACTAAGCAAATAGGAAGCAGTATTCACTGTTCAAACCATGGGGTGCTGGCGAGTATCCCTACTCTGCCCCATTCTGCAGCAGCTGTCACTGAACTAAACCGTGTAGTGGTGAACCTGGCTGTCCTCTGACAAAGTCAAGGAGGGAAACACTGTCAGGACGGTCTACGGCCTGGGTCCTGATTCCACTGGAAAGCCAGCGGGTACTTGCTGTGTGGACATCTACCCTCAGCACCGATGGACCAGTTGTGGCCTAGAGTCCAGACTCTTACTGTCCATGTACTTACAGTATATATGTAAAAAAATGAAAACTAGAATCAATATGGCAAACAGAACATGGACTGAGCACTTCTGAATACCCCAGAACTGCTTTCCATCCCAACTAAGGCTTCTAGATGACCACCTTCCTACATGAAGGTCATCCTTATTGAAATCTGTTATCTGTTTCAATAGCTCTCTTCTTTTGTAAGAAATGATTCCACTTGTCTTCTGGATGGTTAACAACCTAAGTTTGCAGACCAAAATTAGAGAAAAAGGAGGGCTACAAGGAAAGCCAACATTTTGGCCCTAGCCTTCTAAGGTCAATTAAGACTCAGGACATATGAGAACTTGTACTGTAACATCATGTACCTCGGTAGTGTCCCAAATTTTCTGATCAAGAAGATTATGGGGCCAAAGAGGAAAGTGATTGATGATGTAGAGTGGGCCTAAGGAGAGTCACATGGGGAGAAGACATTCTCAGGCTTTCACAGAGAGCACATTGGCCAAGCAATGGCCATGACTCATCCACATGACTGCACTGACAAAGGTTCTACAATCTGAGGTACAGGATCTCAGAATAAATCCTGAGGGCATTTCACTGACCTTCTCAGACCCAAAAGCTACAACTCTTGTTGCACAGGTCCTGCTTTACCTTGGTCTTAACCATCCAGTAGAAAAGTATGAAGACGAAATATAGGAAGTAAAGCCATGTTGTTATGTTGAGCTGTGGGGGACTCAGGTCAATAATTTCTGACATTGCCAGTTAAACAAAAGACCCAATGCTATTATGGGCTACTGGACTCTTTTAGAATATTTTGCTGAGTTTACACACCTATAATACTCAATAACAGAACTTAAAAAAAATGGGGCTTAACTATGTCCATTTCGTATCTGTGTATTCAAAGTGGTTGGGATAGATATATAGTTGCATTCTCTTAATGAATAGAATGATTTGTTCTAATGGTGTTTGTAAATAGGATCACAAGTCCGCATCTTGTACAGCAATTAACCACTAAGAAGAATATATGCAGTGTATTATTTGTTGAAACTGTACTTTCGATTTGATTTGAAACTGTCTCATTGCTTTATGTTTATCAATAAAACTTTGAAAAAATAAATTAAAAAAAAAGTCAAAAAGAAAAAAAAGAAATGATTCCAGTGAGGACGACCAAGGACGCTTGCTGGTGTTCCTTGAATTCTGAGTGTAGTTTATTACCTGAATTTTTAAGAGACATTACAGCAGATAGCAATTTTTTTTTTTAACATTTATTTATTTATTTATTGTGTGTGTATGTGTGTATGTGGCCAGCTCAGCCCACCAGGGGGCGGGGCTGGCTGTCATGTGGTGCTGGGGGATTGAACCGCGGTCCCTGTGCTTTGCCAAGCTTGTTCCAAGTAGGTGCTTTAGACCACTGAGCCATCTCGCCAGCCCCAGCAATTTTTTTTTTTTCAAACCCGAATTCAAAACATTTCTGCATCCAAAGTAATGCCAAAAAAGGATGTAGTTATAAGCCAGCTTTGTCATTAGGAACATGGCTGAGGGCTCGGGATGCAGAGCAGTGGTACAGGGCTGGCCTAACATCATGCACGAGGTTATGGGATCATTTTTTAAGTTAATTTTTCATTTTAATTAGTTCATGCTTGTAGCATGATTATATTCATTGTTGGAGAGTCCATGGGTCCTATCAACACGAAAACAAATCAAAAAACAAAGTGAATTCCTGTATCTCCTTTGGGGATAGAACAAAATTTGTGTGTGTATGTGTGTGTGTATGGTACTAGGGATTGAACTTGGGACCCTGTACTTGTCAGACAGGCGCTTATGCCCCTGAGCTATATCCCCGGCCTTCTTGAACATTCTTTTCACCCTACTGAAGAAGACATACCTTGTTGTGGTGGAATGCACACTCACTTCAGGGGCATATGTTTAAAATCCTAATTTCAGTGCTTTGGATACATACCTAGGAGTAGAATTCCTGAGTCATATGCAGGTTTATATTTAACTTTTTTTGGGTGGTAGTAGAATCTGAACCCAGGACCTTCACACTGAGCTACATCTCCAGTCCTTTATAAAAGTTTTAAAATTTTGAGATAGGGTTTCCCCCACTTGCAGGCTCCCCAGGCTGGGCTTGAACTTGAAATCCTCATGCTTAGGTCGCTTAAGAGTGTTGGCATTAGAGGCATGTGCCACCACATTGGCCTATTTTTAATTTTTTTACGAAACTCCATGAAGTTTTCCATCTTGGCTGTGCCACTGAACATCCCCAGAAGTAAAAGGATGGACCAAGTTTTCTGCTGTCTTGTTAACACTTACATATATTTTGAGCTTTTCCTTCTTTCTTTAGTAGCCATCCTACACACAAGGTGCGGCCTCACTGTGGTTTGGATTTGCATTTCCCTGCGGATGAGGGATGCTGGGTCTGCGGGCTACCTGTATGTCTGCTTTAGGGAAACATTTGCTGTCCATTTTTAAATTGGTTATTTGGCTTTTTGCTACTGAGTGGCAGGAGTTTCTCCTATACTTTGGATACTAGCCCTTTAAGGGACATGTGGTGCTCATACATTTTCTCTCATTGCACAGGCTACCATTTCACTCACTTCTTTCCGCTCTTGCTTTTCCTTGTTTTTTTCCTCCTCCTCCTCCTCCCCCTCCCCCTTCTTTGGTATTTTTGAGACAGGGTCTCACTATGCAGTTCAGGCTGGCCCTGAGCTCAGTCTGCAGCCCAGGTTGGTCTCGAACTAACAACAATCCCCTGCCTCAGCCTCCTGTGTGCTGGGATTACAGGCACCATACCTAGTTTCCTTATTTTCTTCTAGGAGGTTTACAGCTCCTAGTATTATGTGTAACTCTTCAATCCACAGGCATACAGCCAAAAGAATGAAATCAGAATGTTACAGAGATGCCCACACTTTCATGTTTATGGCAGCACTATTTCTCAGGCCAAGACAAGGACAGATGAATAAAGAAACTGTGTATTATACAACAGAGTATTACACAGTCTTAAAAAGAGGGTAATCTTATCATCTGCATAACACGGATTAACCCAAAGGACATTACAGGGGCCAGGGAGATGGCCGAGTGGAATAAGTGCTTCCCTGGCAAGCGCAAGGGCCTGAGTTCAATCCCCGGTTCTGCCAAACAAAACAAAATACCCCCCCCCCCAAAAAAAAAACCCAAAGGACATTACATTAAGTAATATAAACCAGTTATAGAAGTACAAATATTGCATGATTCCAACTTGAAGCAGAGAAAGGAGATCTCAGGTGAGAGGAAAGGAGTTGTCTAATGGGTATAAGGTTTCATTTATGTAAGCTGAATCAAGTTCATTGACTATAGGTAACAATATTAGTGTCCACTTAAATTTTTGCTGAGTTGACCTCATTTAATTAATTTTTAATGTATTTGGTACAAGGTTTCACTACGTAGCTCGGACTCATGTTGATCCTCCTGTTTTCAGCCTCCCCATGCTGGGCTAACAGGTATGCACCATCACACCTGGTCTTGGTGGCTGGATCAGTGTGCCCAAGGGCAGGGCTGGTGTGGCATGTGGTGCCAGGGATTGAACCCCTGTTCTTACCTAAGCAGGCCCTTAGTCTAGTGAGCTATCTCGCCGGCCCCTTGATCTCATTTTAGGTATTATAAAAACATCATCACTAGCTCCTCCAAAACTGAAGAGGCACAAAGATGTCCGAACTGATCAAAACTGCACTTTGAACTCAGGACTTGTGCTTGTCAGGCAAGCGCTTATTCTACTGAGCTATCTCCCCGGCCCATATATACACCATGTCTTGAAAAATATTTATTTATTTATTATTTGCAGTACCGGGGATTGAACTCAGGATTTGTGCTTGCCAGGCAGGCGCTTATTCCACTGAGCTATCTCCTCAGCCCCAGAGCCCTTTTCATAGTGGGGGCCCTGCCAGGAGGCAGAACCAACACAGGGTGGACCTCAGAGGAGCACAGGTCTTTGGAGTGCACCAGTGATGAGACAGACAAGGATTTCTGTATCATCTGTGCTGCACCTGCCGGGGTAGGAGGTCTGCTCACTCTGAACTGGAAGCCCTAATAGCCAGGGAGCAGACAGCCCAGGGAGCATGTGTAAGGGCAACAGAGAAGTTGGAGGGATGCGGCTCACTGTGATGCCAAGAATGGGCAGCATGGAGCTGGCGCTGAGGCCCTAGCTTCTGGGCAGCAGGACCTGCCTGTCCAGGGCCAGTCCCACCCCGCTGCCTCTGTGGTGCTAGCGATCTGCTTCTACGTATCCCTCCTATGGGTGCTCGTCTGTCCCACAGGCTGTGCTCTGTCCCCAACTTGGACTTGGGATTTATGACACCCAGCAGCTCCCAGGACCTTCTGTGTCTGACATACAGGACTGACCCTACCTCTTCACTATCCCTCAGGCCTTCTCCTGAGAGTCCCTATCATTCCATCCCTATGGCTCCCAGCGTTCAATTGTGGGTGTGTGAGTATGGTATAGTAAAATAACAAGACAAGAATGGCAAGGACTTTGACATACAGAGCATTTGACACCATCACCAAAGACTGATGCTCTGGAAGGAAACTGAAGCGGGCAATGTTTAATTCAAAAGCCAAACCCAAAAGGATCAATTAACATGCAGCCTGATCCTGACCTCCACTGGGCACTGGTGTCTGAGCCCGCGGGGAGGGAGGCTGCCTCACATCCCTCTCGAGGGCAGAAGCCACCACTCACCTTGAGTGGGGCTGGAAGGTAAAGTGTGTATACAAGGAAAACCTGCTAAATACTGCTCTTAGCCCTTTAAAACCTGAATTAAATAAAGCTGCAAAAACACTTTCCTACTTACTGGCATTGTTTTATCTCCAAAGAAGTAAATGGTCTTGTAGCCATCATTTTCCACATGTCTCAGGCAGTATCTCTTGTCCCATCCATCAGGAAAGACATCGAAGCTGATCTGGCCTCCTGCAGGGTCGGGAAGAACACATACAAAGGGCTGACAGGGACGGAGGTACAACTCGCTGAGAAAGCCGCCTGGCATGTGTGAGATCCTGGGTTCTACCCCAGGCACCACACACACACACACACACACACACACACACACACACACACACACGTGTCACTGAAGAAAATTTAGTTTACTTTTTGCTAGTAATTATACTGTCCCAGGTTTTATTTTTATACCCTCCTTTGTTACTTACACTACTTTAGGTGCTGGTTCTAGAATTTTTTTTTTTTTTTTTTTGAGACAACATTTTGCTATGCAGTTCAGGCTGGCCCTGAATTCACTTTGTAGCCTACACTGGCTTCGAACTTGAGGCAATCCTTCTGCCTCAGTCTCCCGAGTCTGGAATTACAACTACTGGCCACACTAGGCCTTACAAATTAATTCTTTTTTTTTCCCATAATTTTATTGAGAAACAAATAGCAATGAGACAGTTTCAAACCAAATTGTTAGGACAGTTTCAATAATTAACACATTGCATACATTCTTCCTAGTGGTTAATTGCTGTACAAGATGCGGACTTGATATCCTATTTACAAACACCATTAGAACAAATCCCTCTATTCATTAAGAGAATGTAACTATATATCTATCCTAACCACTTTGAATACACAGATACCAAATGGACATTCATCTGTATTCCCTTTTTTTGTTAAGTTCCATCATTTAAATATTATAGGTGTGTAAACTCAGCAAAATATTCTACAAGAGTTCAGAGGTCCATAATAGTATTGGGTCTTCCACTTTACTAACAATGTCAGAAACTGTTGACCTGAGTCCCCTACAGCTCAACATAACACCATGGCTTTACTTCTTATATTTCATTTTCATACTTTTCTGCTGGATGGTTAAGACCAAGGTAAAGCAGGACTTATGCAACAAGAGTTGTAGCTTTTTGGTCTGATAAGGTCAGTGAAATCCCCTCAGGATTTATCCCGAGATCCTGTACCCCAGATTGTAGAACCTTTGTCGGTGTCAGCCATGTGGATGAGTCACGGCCATTGCTTGGCTAATGTGCTCTCTGTGAAAGCCTGGGAGAATGTTTTCTCTCTATGTGACTCTCCTTAGGCACACTCTACGTCATCGATCACTTTCCTCTTTGGCCCCATAATCTTCTTGATCAGAAAATTTGGGACACTACTGAGTTACATGACATTACAGTACAAGTTCTCATATGTCCTGAGTCTTAACTGATCTTGGAAGGCTAGGGCCAAAATGTTGGCTTTCCTTGTAGCCCTCCTTTTTCTCTAATTTTGGTCTGCAAACTTAGGTTGTTAACCATCCAGAAGACAAGCTTATTGTTATTACCATACAACCTAGGCTGTTAAGCTTAACCTCACTGTCTGAATATCAAACATCTTAGGCACAACATGGAACAGGTAATTTTTCATCAAGTATTGATATGTTGAACTTTAAGTCCCTATAGAATATGATCAAAAAACATTTAAAAATTAGAATATATTTTAAAAAATAGGCATAAAGAATTATATACTTCTTATGTTTACACATAAGTCCAGAAATCTAACCATATACAACCCTGAAGCAGGACAGTCCCGCAACATTCCTTTTCCTGTCTCTTGCCTTCATTCCCCACCCCCTTCTTTTTGAACAATCATCTACCTGAGAGACAGCATGGCAGCAACTGCATGTCATGACAAGCAGCCTGTATTCAGAAGACCATACAAATTAATTCTACATTACTCCCCCTCCCAACATTATTTCACCTGGTCTAAAATGGAAGAGAATGCCAATTCAAAACAAGAATGTACTATACAAGAGCGCTGTGAAGCAAGTGGGTTTAAGTGAAGCACGCTTACAAACAACCTGCCAAGCACTTCATTCACTTCGTTTGGTTAGCTGCACTTGTCTCAGGCTTCCACAGCCCCTCTGTGGAAAATGACTGCAAGCTGGCTGTGTCTCGCTCATCAGGTAGGAAATATACAAATCACACTGAAGGTGACTTACAGGCGGCTATCATGGGCAATAAAAGCTCCTCCAAAAGTTTGCAAGACAGATGCTTCCATCTTAGCTGAGGAGCACGTGAAGGCCTGCCCGCTCCTGCAGTCACTGCACACAGTTCCTTCGCAAGCTCGCTTCCTATGCCTGTGCACTTACTGAAGCTGGTCCAACAAGAAGGCTTCACATAGGGATTCACCACAACTGACAGCAGAAATGAGTCTGTCTAAAGCAACTGACAGCCATGTTCCAGCATAGGCCAAAATTGACGTGTCCAGGCTGCAGGAAGAGCTCGCTAGAAATGTTACACCAGCTATGTCTCTGTGACCTGGACAAATTTCTGCACCTTTTCTGGGCCTTGGTTCTTCTCCTGTAAAAGCAAACAAACTGGCTTCTATAGCCCCTTGCTGTTGACATACTGAATAATTCCAGTATTATTTCGTCTCCTTATTTTTGAGACAGGATCTCATGTGTAGCCCAGGCTGTCCTTGACTTGCGGTGATTCCCCTGCCTCAGCCTCCTGGGTGCTGGGAGTACAGCTGTGCCCTATTATTTTAACTCATCTACAAGGTCCATATTTTGTCTCTCTTCTGGGGTTTACTACAGTGCTTCTCTTTTGCCTCAAGGCTTCCAAAAGCTCCTCTTCTGACCAAGAAGATAAACACAGGCAGAAAGAACCCTTCTGGGTGAGGATGTAGAAAGAGAGAGTAAGGTGCAGTGGCCTATAATCTCAGCTACTTAGAAGCCCGAGGCAGGAGGATTGCAAGTTTGAATCTACAATGGGCAACTGTGAGAGACTGTCTCAAAACAAAATAAAAAATTAAAAAACAGCTGGGCAAGGGCTGGAGAGAGATAGCTTAGCAGTTTAAGTGCCTGGCAAGCACAAGAACCTCGGTTCAATCCCTGGCACCACATGGTACAACACAGCCCCCCCCCCCCCCCCCCCCCCGCCAGGGTGCACTGCTTGAGGCCTTAGTACCCAGTATGGGGGGGGAGGGGGAGGTGGGGAAGGAAGAGGAGGAGGGGTAGGGGTAAGGGAAGGAGGGGAAAAAAAGGATCAGATACAACAGTGGGGAAGCCATCTCCAGGCTGGCCAGCAAATAGTGCCATGGCCGATTATGCAGAAGAAAGTAACGGATCCCCTGCAAGCCTGCACCATGCACAGAGCCCAGTCTCTATGGCACGGGGACTCACAGCCCACTGCCACGCTGCCACGCTGCCACGCTGCCAGATGGATATAGCGTACCTATGGAAAATGTGAGGCCTTTTCCTGCAAACTCTTTCTTCAGGTCCGCTACAAATTTTTGTCTTATGTTTTCTTTCTGGGAAAAAACAAAGCAATTGCCATTGTGTTACAGCGTAGCAGGAGCATCTGAAATTCTGCTCACAAGGCTGCAGTCTTATCTTCCTTCCACAAACCCGGCCTTTCCCAAGGTCAGTTCAGAAGGACTCACTTTATCGAGTTCGTAGAATTCAATGCGTTCCTCTTGGCTGCAGCTTCTTCCAATAGGGGACACATTGAGCATCCCATTTCGGAATTCAATGAAAGTACCCCTGGGGAGCAAAGGGGACAGAGGGTCCCTAAAACACCTCACTTACATGGCAACATTGTAACTTTATGTTTTCGTATGTGCTGCTAGGGATAGAACCCACAGCCTGTGCACGCAAGGCAAGAGCTCCACCACTGAGCCACATTCCCAGCCCCTGGGTAACAGTTTAGACAGGTAAACAGGCTAAATACCTGAGCAGTTAAAAAAAGTAGCAGGGCCACGATCTATGTCTCTCAGAGCTGTGCCACAAAGCAAGCTTGAAAACAGGACCACACAGCCTTGAGATGTGGCTAAGCCCACAGATGTGATCTGAGACACGCCGAAAGAAGGAGTGCAACCATCACCAATAATGCTGATACTATCTGTTAAAAGGATATTTTTGTTTAAAGATAAATTACTAAAAACTAATTTCACCTATTCCTGCTGGTTCTGTGTGGCTACAGGAAATGTGAAAACACGTTTGTGGCTTATATTATGTTTCCACGGGGCAGTGCTGCTGCTAGGAAGATTTTACACTTAATAAAGAGCTACAAAAATGATGCCAGCATTACAGGAGCAGGAGCTTGCTCTCAAAGGAGTCTGAAAACACGTTTCCCAGACAATCTGCGAGTGAGCTCCTAAACAGACACACCAGTAAGCAAAGCTGCACTGACAGGCTCTGGGCATCACCCAGGGAGCCTCGGGCAGAGCGGGGAGACTCGATTTCCCCAGGGGCGACAGCTCCCAAAGGTCTGAGCGGAGCACGAGCACAGCCTCAGTACCTTGAAATAAAGATGTTTAAAAACATTTTTTCCTATCATGTTTCCAGTTTTAGCCTCTGAACAGTTTCTAAAATGGAGATATCCTGTAAGCTAGATACTCATTTTTAAAATTGAAATTCCACCATTTTGCGAAGAGCCACGCACTCTCCCTGCACTGTCCCCAGTGCTGCCTGTGAACCAGCTGGAGTAGGACAGGGGTCTCTGCCCACTGCCCTGCTCACATGGCCCTGATCTCCAGCAACCTGCTGCTGTACAGAGAGGCCACATGTCAGGTGTGCCTTTTCCTAGGCCATCCCACCCTGGGCACCTGTATGGCGCTGCCCTGGTGACCTCTGACAGGTTTTGTGAAGCTCAAATGTACCAATTTATATACTTTGGAAATCGGGAAGCAACTGAGTATTCTTCTACTAAGGTACAAGCAAACTCTGGCAGCTGGGTCCTACCCTCTGCTGTGTGTACCTTGCCAAGGAAATGATAAATATTCAAAACACAAGGACCTAGGGCTGGTGAGGTAGCTTAAGCAAGCTTAGGCAAGCTTAGGGACAGTGGTTCAATCCCGGGCACCACATGCCACCCCAGCCCTGCCCCCAGGGCAGGCTGAGCTGGCCAGGGTCCAAGTGTAGTGGCACACACTTGTAATCCCAGCGCTGGGGAGGCTGAAAGCAGGAGGATTACTACAAGTCTGAGCTGCGTAGTGAGACCTTGCAACAACCAAATTAAAAAACAAAACATTAAAAAACAAAAACAAAAAGCAAGAACCTAATAAAAGTTTTCCAAAAACTCCATGTCCATGTTGTCCCAGGACTGGAACAACCAAGCCCTGTCCTTCACTACATCTGCATGCCCACTGAAGAACTCTGGGGACTGTGGACCCCAGCAGTGACTCTTGGGCTGTCAGTCTATTCTATCAGAAACATAGTTATTTCCCCTGACCCAAGGACGTATTACTCACTCCTAAAGCATGGGTGGAAGTCTTCTGACAAACAGGGATTGGGGAAGCTAGCAGGACTCTTGGTTACCTGAGGTGTTCCAGCCTTTGCTCCACTTAGGGAAAGCACATGGTTAATCCTTGTGCAAAACGTGGATGAACGTGAGTCTTATTTCGCAGGTACCTTACACTATTCCGCAATTACAGCTCTGTACATGTGTCTCCTTCATCAGACTAAAAGCATTATAACCTTGTCCTTTAAATCCCCCATTAACGCTTAGCCCAAAGTAACGATGGAATGGACCAGAGTATATGTGTATTTTAACTTTCACTCTGGGGAATTTCTACTGTATATAAACATAAACAGAGCAGGATAAGGAACGCTCTCACACCCACGCCCACTCCAGCGCAGGGAAGGCCCTGCAGGCCCGCTGGAGCAGCTCAGGGGAGGCAGTGGCTATGCATTCTCACAGCCTGGAGGAGCCTCTGTGGCCCAGCAGACATTTAAATCCGAGTGCCAAAGATATTTATCTCCCTGTTGATTAAAAGTGTGACCCAGCAGCTGCTGAAAACTGGAAAGAAATTAAATGTCAAAGAAATCACCTCGACCTCTCATCACCAAGACCCAGCTGGTTAGCCAGTGAGCCCACTCCCTTCCAGTCTTCTACTGCAGGCCTTTGAAGAGGACTGAAAGGGCAACAGTGGCCAATGCAGGAGGCAGGTACCCGCTCAAAGGCCTGTGGGGGTGGGAAGTTCGAAGCAGGCTCTGGAAGACAAGTGCTGTGCGTTGGAAGGTGGGGGTGGCGTGGCAGGGACTCCAGGTGGCAATGATGACCCATCCAGCCATGTCTTCACCTTGTCAACCACGGCCAGAAAGGCAGACTCTTTTAGAGAAATCAGACTCATTTTTATTGAGACAGGGTCTCACTACGTAGCCCAGGCTGACCTTGAACTCCCTACGTAGCCTGGGCTGGCCCCACACTTGTATCGATCCCCGCCTTAGCCTCCCAAGTGTTGGATTACAGGGGTGCACCATCATGCCCTGGCAGACTCATACTTATTCATTTATTTATTTCTGGTACCAGGAATTGAACTTAGGATCTTGTAGTTGCCAAGTAGGACCCAGACTAATTTTTAAATTAAATAGCAATTAATTAGTATCTTTTAATTAAATTAATAGCAATTAATTTGGATTTTCTTTAAGATTTGGCATTGTGCGGGATCTGGCTTACAAGTTGCCCATTAAAAAACTTCAGATCCAAGGGTTCGGCTGTTGTTTTGATGCGCTGTTCCACTCACTGACAACCTCTGAGGGTGTATACTTTTCATGGGTGTTTAATTCACTTCATGTAGATCTGCCATCTCTCTCAATCCTTCTTACAACCCTTGGCTGTACAAATCACTTCCAGTCATTCCTCAAGTGCTGGGCTGCATGTACCCATCAGTATCAACCCCCCACATGACTCCACATTACATCAGAGCTCCTTTAAGAAAAGCAAACCTACCTTTTCTTTGGGAGTTTAATTTTTGCAATGTAGCTTAGACAGTAGTTGATTAAATCTTGAATTAGGACCTCACCCAGGTGACCTTGAATATTCTACAATTAAAAACAAAACAAAACAAAACTATAGTTAATTATTGGCCAGGATGTGTTTTCTAAACAGCTATACAGCAAACCCAAGTCATGAGCTACTACTGCTAGGAAGTCACGAGGCTGGTGTCCCAGGGCCAGTGACAAACAGAATGATCATATACTACTGAAAGCTGCAAAGGACCTCTTCAAGATGTTCACAGTGCAGCTATTCCCGCTGTTGCAAAACAAGTATTAATTTAAGTATCCTTAAAAAACAAATACAAAAATTTACTTATCTATCTGCAATATGCAACAGTCACTCGGTCCAAGATTCAAATCTTTCCTGTGAGAAACTGAAAGTGTAAATAAAAGACCAAAATGTATAACAGGTGTGGTTAAGCAGGAAGAAAATGTTCAAACGGGGAGGGGAACAAGGGAGGGAGGAGGGGGAAAGAAGGGAAAAGGAAAAAAAAGAAGGAAAAAATGGAAACAAAGCTTTTGCAAATGGGGAGAGGAGGAGGTGCTGAAGGGAGGGGAATAGGAAAAAAGAAACAAGAAAGAGAAAGGAACACCATGTACAGGAACAAATTCTTCATGATGAATGTGATCATTATGAATACCTAAAATGTACCAAGAAAATCTGACCTGAGAGAGAGGAAAAAAAAAAAAGACTCAAATCTTAATAAAGAACACAGAATAAAGATTTATCTTCACTCGTCTCTCAGCTTCCCAGCGTGCCCACTCAGAGGCAGTCACTGTCAAACACCCTTTTAAATATTTCATTTTATTTTATTTGGCTTTTTGAGACAAGATCTTGGTATTGCAGTTCAGACTGGCCTTGAACTCACTATGTAGGCCAGGCTGTCTTCAAACTCATAGTACCCCTCCTGCCTCCGCCTCCCCAGCGCTGGGATCACAGGTGTGAACTAGTAAGTCCAGCTTTAAGTATTCTAGTAGCAGTAAACAATTGTTCTGATACTTAACAACATACCTGTTTACATAAGAGTTTCCCATCTTTGTAGGCTACCAAGCCATTTTCTGGAAACACATAGTTATATTTCTCTACCACTAAAACCAAAACAAAAGAAAATTTAGAATGTAATAAATTAAAATATACATTTTTGTTTCTTGGCTAGCACCTGAGTGTAAAAGATAATCTCATGTTAACGGAAGAAGAGGAAAAAGCTCCTAAGAAAAAGGTGAAAAGGTGCTTTGGTTGTTAATTTAAAAGCTAATGAGTAGGGCTGGTGAGATGGCTCAGTGGTCTAAAGCACCTACTTGGAACAAGCTTAGCAAAGCACAAGGACCGCGGTTCAATCCCCCAGCACCACATGCCAGCCAGCCCCGCCCCCTGGTGGGCTGAGCTGGCCACACACACACACACATAAAATAAAAAAAAAAAAAAAAGCTAATGAGTGGGCGGAGACTGAGGCACAGGGCAGGCTGCCCTGTGTACCGCCCTCAGCTGGCCCATCAAAGCTGCCACGTTAAGTACCGCCTGCTAATGGCTCAGTAGAATAAGCACTTGCCTGGCAAGTACAAGGGCCTGAGTTCAATCCCCTGTTCTGCCACACACACGCACAAAAAGCTGCTGCAGGGAGGTCACTTGTCCACCAGAGTGCTGTGCCCAAACCTGCCTTGAACCATGAGCACCTGGAAGCTGAGCGCAAATGTGGATTTTCCTGTTCTGCTCGCAGGCTGCCTAAATCAGGACTGCCAGGGAAAGGCTAAGTATTTATTTTTTTTTCAGAACCAGGGATTGAACTCAGGCCCTTGTGCTTGCTAGGCAAGCGCTTATTCCACTGAGCTATCTCCCCAGCAGGCTAAGTATTTTTTAAAAGCTGTTAGGTGCACTATGATCAGTCAGACTTCAAGACCATCACACAACCTCAACAGAGGGCTTCTCTGACTTTAGGCACTTGTCAGAATTCCCACGGTGCACTGGGCAAGGAGCCCTTTCCCTCCAGCCTTTTCCAAGTGTGAGTGGTACGTGTGCTGGCCTTCACTGACACAAAGCCTCTCTGAGTGTGCATCAAACACACCACCAGAGGCAGAAGGGCAGCCAAGACCAGTGCCACAATTCTGGGGCCTAATGTGTCCAGCACATAGTCTGTAACATCTCTAAACAGAGCACCTGCAAGGAGAATTAAGTGTAAGTGAAACACAGAGCTTTAAAATGTTGGTACAGGGCTGGCCAAATAGCTCAGTGGATTAAAGTGCCTGCAAACAGGCGCAAGGGTCGGGAGTTTGAGCTCCCAGCCTGCCCTGCTGGCCCCCCCCCAGGGGTGTGCTGAGGTGGCAACTGAGACTGGGTGTGGTGGGGCGCACCTGTAATCCCCGCTCTTGGGAGGGTGCGAACAGGAGGATCACTATGAGTCCCATCTAGTAGTGAGACTCTGAACACCCTGTAGACCCTTCCCTAAAATACAAACATAAAAAATAAAAATAAAAGGTTGGTACAGATTACTCCTGCAGTGATGATGATCGAAACAGTCTGCACAGAACTGCACCATAAGACATGGCATAAAGAGCAGGGTGGAGTGGCACTAGGAGGCTGAGGCACGAGGGTCACTGTGAGCTCAAGACCAGCCAGGGCTATGTAGTAAGACAAAGCCAGCCTGAACAGCTTAGTGAGACTGTGTCTCAAAAAACAAAATGGAGACACAAGACAAACAGGAGTTCCTGCCAAGCGTGGTTGTACACACCGTAACTTCAGCACCAAGGGAGACAGAGGCAGGAGGGTCACAAGTTCAAGCCTCACTTGAGCAACTTAATGATTGAGACCATCTCAGAATAAAAAACTGGCTGATAATGGAGCTCAGCGTGAAGGCCCTGGGCCCAATCCTTTCCTAACTGGGGAGGTCTGACATCTGGAGACCATGGGGGTATGCCCAACAATGTCCACAGACATTTTAGTTGTGAAAACACATTTTTAGGGTGTGTGTGTGTGTGTGTGTGTGTGTGTGTACTCTGTAGGGATCTAATGAGTAAAGGCCAGGGTACTTGTTAAACATCCTACAGTGCACAGAACCCCTCATAACAGAACTACCTGGGCCCAAATGTCACCAGCGACAAGGGTGAGAAACCTTGCTCTAGTGAAGCTGGTTCCAAGACATGAGAACTCTGGTGACAACAGGGGTGAAAAGAACAATTCAAGGATCCACCCCTCAATCCACTATTTCTAACAGGCCGGGTACCACTGGGGTCCTGCGGCCACAGAGATAAAAAACTGCACAGTCCTGGTCTTTAAGGCAAACGATTTAGAGTGCTGCTTCAGCAGGGCAGCACGCCAGAATCTGCTGGGAGTACTTGCTGAAGCACAAGTCCCAGGTCCTGCAAACTTACTCAGTCAGTCTCTGGGGAAGAGGCTGGTAAAACTCCAGCTTCTGGGGTCCTCTGCTGGAGACCCCAGTTTGGGGGAGAGATGGGGGCCAGTGAACTTTGGGATGCAGGAACTCTGGGGACACTGGGTAGGGCAGCAGCGAGGAGACACCCGGGTGGAGAGGGCGGTCTAAGCTGAGGTGAGAAGTGGGGTCAGGACATGGGCTGCAGAGGCTGGCAGGCCGAGGGAGGAGGGACAAGCAACTACCCCAGGCAAAAAGTCCCACGTGCAAAGAAGCAGACACCGCTTTCTCAGTGAATCTACCCACAAATCAGTGTAAAGTGCTCACCAACAACCCCAAAGCTTTATTTTTGGGAATAAGTGCAAAGGAAATATAGAGGCAGAGACAATGTCTCCCCAAAGAAGAAACAAAGAAAGCGTGCCACATGTGGGCAAAGGCGTGGTATGACTAGGACCCTTGGTTACAGGTCTCCCCTACAGAGAAGCTAATCTTTGGTCAAAATGTAATTAGCAGGGCTGGGGAGATGGCTCAGTGGAATAAGCGCTTCCTTGGCAAGTGTAAGGGTCTGAGTTCAATCCCCGGTTACGTAAAAAAAAAAAAAAAAAAATTAGCAACGTGGAGTTACCATCATTTCCCAGCTGCTCCTGAACTTTCTCAAAGTCCGACCCGCCTACCACTCCGATGTTGGTCTTCTGCTTCAATTTTTGTAGAAAGTCATCCATTTCTTTGGTAATTTTCTACACATCAAGAAGGAAAACAGAAGAGTCACGAACTACAAAAATCACCAGTGACTGGAATAGAAACAGTATACAGATCTTATTTTATTCAATTATTTTTATTAGTATACGTTCAATATACATAATGTTTATTTCTGTACACGCCAGTTCAGTCACTAGGTCTATAGGTATTTTTCAAGTATTATAGTTGCAATTTTGGGTAATTAACCTTTTGCTAGAATAAACTTAATGAATTTTACCTATTTTTGCCAAAATTTAAAAGCATGAGCAGCTGATTAACACTTATCATGTACTATTCTATTCTTCTAAAAATTTACATACCTGTCAGCATGCATACACATAATTAGGTACACAAATACAAATGAATTACTTTATGTCATATGCAATAACTTGCCTTTTCCAGCACCATACTATAGTGATATTTCTATCCCAATATACAGATTTAGTTCATTCCCTTTGAATGTGACTTATTGCATTTACAGATTTCTTTAAAAACAAAAAAATTAAAGAGCAGGGTCAGAATTGATTAGAACTGTAGTGAGCAAAGCATGGCAGGAGTGCAGCTCAGTGTCCAGTATGGCCTTAATATGTGAGGCCTCAGGTTCACACACAGCACCACCACCACCACTGCATCAACACTCACAACACAATCCCCACACTCCAAAACCAAAGAAACATTAGATTTTTAGTTTCATGATGAATTATACAGTAGGACAGAAAGAGAACCACACAGTAAGATAAACAACAAATTTTTAATAATTCATTATTTATAGTGTGTGTGTGTGCACGTGTGTGTGTGTTGGTATCAGGGACTGAACTCAGGACTGCACAGGATAAACAAGTACTCTGCCACTGAGCTACACTCTAGCCCCCTTCTCCCTTTATGGGACAGAGTCTCACGGTGACTCTCCTGCCTCAGCCTCCTAAGTGCTGGAATGACAGGCATGCATACCACATCTGGCATAGCCCCACTCATTTTTAGTAACTTTTATTTTTTTTTTTTTTGGCGGAACCAGGGATTGAACTCAGTCCTTGCGCTCGCCAGGGAAGCGCTTATCCTACTGAGCCATTTCCCCGGGCCCTATTTTTAGCAACCTTAATTGGATAGTTGCCTGAGCAGCTAGCACTGCCTTCGCGCCCTTGCTCTTTGCTGCCACTATGAATGGCAGCTCTCTGCCATGAGCCAGTCTGTCTTGGAGCCAGCTGAGTAGGGACTGAAACCTCCACTAACTGTGAGCTAAATAAACATTTCTTTCCTTCATTTTGGGTGTTGGGTATTTTGCCCAGCAATGAGAGAAGAGTAACTGAGACACTTACATTATCTTTTTGTAACTCACCAAAACAAATTTAACTTCAGTACATAAATTCATTATATACTTCATAACTTCTCTGCAGTATACAATTTTTTAGAGTAACAAAGCATATGCTTAATAAAGTTTTAAAGAGGGGCTCAGAATAGATTTCACTTTTTCCCCATCTGTTACAGAAGAATTCTGGCCTACTGTGCAAAATCCTGAACTGCTCTAGTGGCTTCCATGAGAACAGTTAGAGTCCCCAAGTGGTCTGCTCAAACTTGACATCAGAATGGGAGGAATTGCAGAAGAATCCCCCAGCAATACTAGCCACACTAACCATCAAAGGCAGCAGCATTCCATTTTTGAACAGAAGCCCAAGGGTACAATTTATCTAATTATTACTGCACACTGATGACAAACAATACTGTAGTCAGTCAGGGCATGTTTTGTAACTAGAATAGTCTGTTAAAAACCATTTACTACCAAATGGTAACAAATACTTCTTGACAGGAAATAGGACCCGTATATTGTAACAATAGCAGAGTATGTGTGCCTGCTCGTATGTATGTGCCTGCCTCTCTCTCTCTCTCCCTTTCTTTTCTTTTCTTTTTTTGGTGTGGGAAATTGAACTCAGGACCTCCTACTGGCCAGGCAATAGTTTTTCTTTTTTTAAAAAAACAGGTTAACACTACATAGTTCAGGCTGGTCTTAGACTCACTATGTAGCCCAGGCTAGCCTGGAAATCATGGCGATCCTCCACCCTCAGCCTCCCAGGTGCTGGGATCACAGGCATGCACCACCACAGCCAACTTCTTTGTACCATTTCCAAGGATTTGTGTTTGAAATTTTCATGATGCAAAGTAGAAAAGGATTCACCTAGGTTTATACTACTTTCTCTCTGTAGGTTTATACTCCTTTCTCTCTGTTGAGTTTTGTTCTAAGTTCCAATTGATTTCATTTTATTTTATTTATTTATTTATTTGGTGGAACCGGGGATTGAACTCAGGCCCTTGCACTTGCTAGGAAAGCACTTATTCCACTGAGTCATCTCCCTGGCTCCATCCAATTGATTTTAGATGGAATGGCATTTTTAGGAAAGCACGTAGCACAACAAACTCTTATTAACAAAGGAAAATCTTCAAATTTCTGATGTCTATGGTCATTAGACTTAATCTGCCTGGCTCATGCCTTGTTTCAGTGACTGCAATAAAAAATGAATTCATTCTTTCTCTTTTAGATTGTATATATTATAAAGGGAAAGACTATGATAAATAGCTGTTACTAAAGTATTCTTACCTAAAGCACCCAGCCTACAGGAAAAGTCTCTTTTAAATTATAGATTTTATTGATTTTTTTTTTTTTTTTTGAGACAGGGTCTTGTGATGTTAGTTCAGGCTGGACTTGATCTCATTACAGAGCCCAGGTTGTCCTTGAACTCTCAGTGATCCTCCTGCCTCAGCTTCCTGAGTGCTTGGAATTATTTGTGTGTGTCAAATGCCCAGCTAGATTTTATTTTATACTTTTGAGTGTTAAAATTATTAATGGTAAGGAATACCATGTTTCAGTAATTCTGGGTCATATGGCTGCTTATTTTTTTACTCTATGGGTGCATATCAGGATTCTTTCTGGGGAGAAGCTCTCTTCTGAACAGTATAGCTAACACCCACAACAGCTTCCCTTTCAGCATGGTGAACTTGACAAATGACAAGGCCCCTGAGGCCCAGGGACTTGCACAAGGTCTGCTATGCTAAGGAGGTCAGAGTTTCAGTGGGTCTCGCTTCCATCTGTTTGAAATGGTAGTGACAACTATTGCACATGGGACAAGAGATGGAAGACTGACAGCACCCAACATTACCTAGAAGGGATTGGAAGTGTAAACCCTGGACCGCCCCCCAGCCATGGCCACAACTGAGTGGCTCTTTGCTTCCACAACTGAGTTTTATTGGACCAGTCACCCTGTTTACATGTGATTTTCCACCTGCTTTTGCAGTAAAGTTGGTCAGTTACTACAGACCATACGGTTTGCAAAAACGAAACTATTTACTCTGTGGCCCGGCACAGAAAGTAAATTATGGATCTGAATTTACCCCTGTAACTCTTGACTATCCCAGTGTGTGTTGATCTGAGTGCAGTAAGACCTTTGGAGAACTTGGAGTTGAATCCAACCATGAGATGGATCCAATCTGTGGCTCAGAAAGGTAAAATGATACATCTAAGATCACACATATTTGAGTACATTTTGCCAAAAAACTAAAGAGGATGGGGTAGAAGTTGAGGACTGCATGGCCATTTGGGCCCAATCTTGTTTGAATGGGGTTCAATGACCAGTTTGTGCAAGAGGGCAGACAAGGCCTCCGAAAAAGCTCATTTTTGTTTTTTTTTTTTTTAATGTATTTGGTATAGGGTCTCACTCTGCAGCTTGAACTCATAGTAATCCTGTTTTCAGCCTCACCAGCACTGGGATTACAGGCATGTGCCGGGGGAGGGGGGCACACAGGGCACAGCATGTGGTGTTGAGGATCAAACCCGCGGTTCCCTGCGCTTGCCTAAGCAGGCGCTTAGTCCACTGAGCTATCTTGCCCGCCCTATACAGCTCATCTTAACTGAAATTTAACAGTGACTGTAGCAGCAAAATCTGGGAATGGGAAACAAGATTCCCAGAGCCCAAGGATGCTCTTAGCAGGCAGCGTTTAATGATCTAGGCCTTCTCGCCCATCGCCCCGATTCACTGGGCTCGTGGAGATGGCTAACGTTTGAGGCCTATGCTGTCCGAGAAACTTTCATGAACTTACATGATTTCATTAGATCCTCAAAAACACCAATGGTGCTGGGAGTGGTGGTGCACGCCTGTAATCCCTGCACTTTAGAGGCTGAGGCAGGAGATTGCTGTGAGTTCGACACCTGCCTGAACAACACTGTGAGTTTAAGGTCAGCCTGAACTATACAACGAAACCCAGCCTGAGAAAAGAAATCAAACAAAATCCAAAAACAACATATGGAACAAGCAACCTCACTGAACGCTGTAGCCGAGGCGGCTCAGAATAGTTAACTGCCTCGCTCAAGGTCACACAACTGTCAACAGGTGAAGCTGAGACGCCTCCACTAGGTCTGGAAACCGACGTTTTAAATACCTTACGCGGCACAGCTCACAGGTGCCAGGATTAGGGAGGTCATGCAGCTGGTGAAAGGGCTTGCAGTGGCATTCTAATGCAGGTCCCCGGAGCTTGAGGTTAACTCTAGCCCCACATTTTCCCAAACTCCCTGCAATACAAGACTTTCTTGGTCCTTAAAACTCTTGGCTCTATTTTATGTCTCAGTATCCCGAGGTCCCAAAGAGCTGCTTAGATCGTCGGTGTCAACTCTCTAAGGCGAGGTCCGAGCCTACGGCAGGGGAAGATGGTCCTCGGTCGCCCCTTGGCGCCCCTCCCGGCGTGGTCAGGAGCCCCTTAAGCGAGTAGCAGGGCGCCACACTGGCAGCTACAGGTCTGCCGAGCGCTGCCTACCTGCCGCGGGGCCGTCAGGGTCCCATCCACATCGAAGAGGCACAGCGCTGGGTGGGTCGCAGCCATCTCTCCGGTTTCAATCTGCACACCAGATTGAACCCGTTGGCACCAGGAACTCATCCCGGAACTTCCGTGTTGCAGTGCACGTCGGGAAGAGGAGACGTGCACAACCGGGTCCCACAATGCCTAGCACGAGCATCAGGCGCTGTCCTCGGACCACGACTCCCAAGATGCAATGCGCCGAAGAGCGCCGCTTACGGCCGAGCATGCGCCATTAGGTCTTCCGGGTGGTGGGGGTTACTTCCGGCCGCGGGTGTTGGGCCATGGTGAGGACTTTGTTGGAGAACCGGGAGGGCGGTGGCGTATTTGGCGGACCTTGGTTGCAGCCGAGGCTGGCAGGCGGGAGTCCTGGGTTTCTGACTGGCGTAGTCTGCATTGGCTGCGGTTTGCCGTCCCCCAGTTTCTTCTGCTCCCCTCGGGTCACGCGGACCCGCTACCGGGACGGCTCCAGTCGCGGAAGGCTCATCGCGCAGCAGACGCTGAGCTGAGGGCTGTGTAACAAACCTTCATCTCCTTCGGGGTTTTCTGAATCACTTTTGAGAAATATGGAAGTAAGGCTCAGAGAGGTGGAGTAACTTTCGCAAGGACCCACAGCTAATGATCGTTGAAGCTAGGATTGCACTCACATCATGCTCAGAGCCCAGAGCCCAGAGCGTTGCCCTCTGCACTGCTCACTAATAAGATCGTGCTGTGTACTCTGCCTTCCCTGCCTCGTTCCCAGGCGCTGTTCCCTCTCACTAACCTAACAGAAAATAGCAGCTTGCCCCAGCGCCAAGATAATGCATAAACTGGGCAGGAAGCTACCAAATTGCTGGGATAAATATTTCCTAGGTTTGTGGCTTGAATTTCTCATTAGGACGCTAGTTAATAGTGGTGCTTGTAAAAATGTTCACACAGCTTTGTTATCCAGGGCCCGGCCCAGTGATGGCTCTCCTTGGGTATTTGTTGAATGAAAGAAGCTACATGGCCTTTTCTATATTTGCTTGGAACGGCCTTGGGGGAAGAGGATCAGTTTGAGAATCACTGTTCCCTTTATTCTACTGTGTGTCCTTGGATAAGTTTCTTACCCTCTCTGGGCTTATTTTCCTTAGAGGTAAAATGGAAATAGTGGTGTCTGTTCATGCTGTTTTTTTATGAAGCGCACATGAAGTAAAATATCTGACTTTACCTTCCTTTCCTTGTCTGGCTGTCACGGTGAATTCACAGAATTGTCAGGAGTTTCCCTGGGGGATGCTTTGCAGATGTTCCTTGTGTAATGAACAAGGTTGATTTCCATGAAAAAACTGTCTCCTCTCCCCCTTCCAGGCTGCTCTCCTCCGAGCTGTGCTAAGGTTGCGGGGCCCAGCTGCCCAGGGAAGGCCTCTCCACCGGCTATGGTACTGCAGTGTGCAGGAGAACCCCAAGAGGTGGGTGGGGATCAGGTCACGCCCCTCGGAGGAGAAACCACCAGGCCCGGAGACAGAGAAATTCCAGATGGTCTACCGTTTTAACGCGATCCGAGTCTTTGGCTTCTTGTCGCGGCTGAAGGTGGCACAGACTGCCTTGACGGTGCTGGCCCTGCCGCCGGGCTTCTACTGGTACTCCCAGGGTCTCGTGACTCTAAACTCACTGTGCCTCGCCAGTGGGGTTGCTGGCTTTGCCCTGGGCATGCTGTGCTGGATGAGCTACTTCTTCCGGAGGCTGGTGGGCATCCTGTATGTGAATGAGTCGGGCACCATGCTGCGGGTGGCCCATCTGTCCTTCTGGGGCTGGCGACGGGACACGTACTGCCCCGTGGAGGATGTGATGCCCCTGACAGAAACGAAGGACAATCCCCAGGATGTGTTGATGTGTATCCAGCGCTACAGCGGGAAGCCGACTTTCTACCTCACTCTGCGCTATGGACGCATTGTGGACAGAGAGCGGTTCACTGAAGTTTTCGGGGCAGTGCGCGCATACAAGTGAACAGCTGGGAGCTGGGCCACCTGCGTCCCCTACAGGGAAACCAAGGGCATGGGCGCAGGTGAAACGGGAATCCCAGGTATCCTGGAAACCCTTCTGTTAGGAGATTCATGAGACAGAAGGTAATAACCAAAAGAATTGCCTGACATTTGGGCAGAAGTTTCTGAAGAGGCAATTCTTGGACCAAACTGTGCCAGGTCCCCTGAGACTGCCACTGCCCTGAACTTGGAAGACAGCGGGTGTGGCAGGAAAGCAGGGGAACTGCAGCCAGCGCCTCGGGTTCTGTCAGTTCTCAGCTCCCAGGGAGTGATGTCTGAGTCTCTTTTCAACTGTAAAATATGAAGTCCTGCATGACTTCTGGTATAAATATGAAAATAAAACAGTGCCCTTCAGGCTGCCCTGTGGCTCAGTGGTGAAGCTCTTGCCCTGCATGTGCAAGACCCTGGGTTCCATCCGCAGCCCTGCAAAACGTGACTGCCGAGGGCTCTGCCCAGCGACTGCAGCCTGGCGGGAGGGTTCTAGGCAGGTAGTGCAGATTTCCCAAGCCTGTGCTGTGCCCTGGTACATGCCCAGCAGTGGAGGCACTGGAGTGCAGCTGAGGGCGAGCTCCTGCCATTCTGTTGGGGTGACTGCACGCCGGCTGGGACAGGGCTGCTCACGTGCGCACAGCACATGTGCTCAGCACTCCAGCTGAGAACCCAGGCCAGCTCACGTGGGAAGGTATTGCAGAGTAATCCAGGCAGAGCGCCTTGCCCACGCATCACCAAGTTAAAGGTGACTGCGTGTGCTGCTTCTCCTGATTAGTGATATTTGTTTTTAACAAATACAGAAAAGTTACTCTCTTTATAATTTTTGTCAGCACAATTTTTTGTTGTTTTGGAGATAGGATCTTGTTACGTAGTGTAGGCTGGCCTCAAACTTGTCGTGATTCCAATGCCCCAGCCTCCTGAGTGCTGGGATTACAGACGTGTCACTGTGGCTGGCAATTTTTTGCCACTTAGAAATCAGTAACTGTTTTGCTGTGTAGCTTTCCACGCATTTATTATTGTTTTCTTTTTCAGAAATTTATTCTTGTCGTAGAATTTATGTAACAAAAGTATTCTTGTAACCGTTTAAAAATGTACAGTTAAGCACCTTAAATACATTTATAGTGTTGTACAACTGTTTTTTTTTTTTTAATTTTTTTTTTTTAACATTTATTTATTGTGTGTGTGTGTGTGTGTGTCTGTGTGTGTGTGTGTGTGTGTGTGTGGCCAGCTCAGCCCACCAGGGGGCGCGGCTGGCCGGCATGTGGTGCTGGAGGATTGAACCGCGGTCCCTGTGCTTTGCCAAGCTTGTTCCAAGTAGGTGCTTTAGACCACTGAGCCATCTCTCCAGCCCCTTGTACAACTGTTATCACTATGTTTTTCAAAACTTTTACATCATCTTGAACAGAAGAATCCTGCCGGGCCGGGGAGATGGCTCAGTAGAATAAGCGCTTCCTTGACAAGTGCAAGGGCCTGAGTTCAATCCCCAGTTCCATAAAAAAAAAAAAAAAAGAAGAAGAAGAATCCTGCCCATCTCTAAATAAAGAGGGCTGGGGTGTAGCTCCATAGTAGAGCACTTTGAGTTCAGTCCTCAGTACCAAAAACAAAGCCAATAAACAAAACTGCTGAGCTTGTTTTGGTTTGTGGTTCCGAAGACGCAGTCCATAAGCACTTTACCTGGTTGCTTTGGACTTATGATGAGACCTGGTGGAGACAGGACGGAGGGGCCAGTTCACCTCACGGCGGCCAGCAAGCAATGAGAGTGACGTGAAGGGGCCACACTTTGCTGCCAGTGACCCAAATTCCTGCTACAGGGCTGCACGTTGGTACTGGGGATTGAACTTAGGGCCTTAGCACTGAGCTATATCGCCAGCCTGTTTTCTGTTTTTTATTTTGAGATACAGTCTTGCTAAGTCACTTAAGTTGCCCAGGCTGGGTCGTAACTTGTAATCCTCCTCCCTCAGCTTCCTGGAGTGACAGGGTGGCAGGCATGTATCACCATACTTGGCTGGACTCCACTTGAATGTTTGCTACCTTCCCTAGTAGCATGGGCTGAGGGCCAGCCATTTAGCATCTGTGGCAGACACTTCTAAGGCATCGCATGTGGCACTTCTTGAACCTTTCCATAGTGGCCATTCTATTTTGTGTTCTGACCAGCAATGCACAGGGAGTCAGGCTTGTCAACATCTATCCCAACACTGGTTATTTTCCACGTTTTGATACTACCCATCCCCGGAGGTGCACAGTGGAATCTCATTGTGTGTCAGGCTTTTTCAAGGTACAGTTGTTTCACTGTGCCTGAGCTTGCTTTTTCCCTTTCTTTGCTCACTTGTGCTCTCTCGCATTCATTTTCTCTCTCTCTCTCTCTCTCTCTCTCTCTCTCTCTCTCTCTCTCTCTCTCTCTCTCTCTCTCCACCTGAGATATAAATGTTCACTAAAAATATTCAGGAAGTATATTCCATTGATTGGACATAGCTAGTCCTTTAATCTTTACCGTTT